TTTATAACTGTTATTACTTCCGGTATTCAATATAGCGTAGTTGTATGGGAAGGCGATCGAGAAATGTAAATTAGCAACATGCATATACATATGTATATAGAGACTTTGATACTTCGTGGGTGTTTATTTAATTCTCGGAATTTAAGGGAATAAGGGAGGTTTAAATGGCAAGTTTTATTGTATTAAGGGAATTGTGCCAGTACCGCTATTGCGATAAACAAGTCATGAAACTCGTTGAATAACCGTGCTAAATGCAAATTTTTTTTTAACATTCAAATTCACACATTTACAAAGGAATTTTTCATAGAATGACAAAACACTGTTTTTATGTTATAAATTTCAAATTTTTTTTTTTATAAATTAAAATATTCCGTTCAATTGTTAGAAAATATTTTTATTTTCAATTACTGGTTTTAAATATTCTGATTAAGAGTAAAATATTAATGTTTCCTGTTAAAAGTATTTGCATTTAAAAAAAATTTTTTTTTTTTAATCATTCGTATTAGTAAATAACTGATTTTCTATATGTATGTGCCAAACGGTACTAATAATTGTAACACATATTATGTGTAAAACTTTACACACTGAAAATCTTTTCCGGGTCACAATACTTTAAAGAGACAGTAGTACATTAAGAATTTACAAATAGTCTTTAAATTATGTTTACAACACGTTTCTCAGCTGGGAAATATTTTGCAAAATTTAATTACTATACTTTATTTCCCATAGTTATTAAAGTAGTTGGTAGTAAAGTACATAGTAATTTTTTTTTAAATATATCAATGTTATATTAATATTTAATATAAATGTAACTTTTTATCTCATGTAAAAATAAATATGTATAAATAATAAGCAAAATTTGTTGGTCAACGATCTTGTTTTGTTTGAAGAATATTATAACGATCAGAAAAAAAAGTCAAATCTTCTAAGCCGTTCTACATTTAGATCATAGATAACTTTTACTTGACAATAAGGAAACGCCCCTTCTTTAATTTTTTTTTTCTAAGTTTGTAATAAATATTATTATATAATATAAGGCGTTTCCAATGTGTCAGATCTTCTTGACTACTTAATTGCAGAGTATATATACTCTTCAGAATTAGTAAATTTTTTAAATATTTTGAAATAAAAAATAATTTTATTTCCTAAAGAAATATAATGAAATTTAATTTTAAATTCAGAAAATGGATACATTTTTTTTTAGAAATATAAAAGGTTATTAAAATTAATGTGTAAATAATAATATCTCTTATATTATAGAATATCTTGTTTGAAATCATTGATATATTTAATTAGTTTTATACTCGATTTGGATCGATTGATTTTTTTTCTTTTTTTTTATATTAAACTGCCGATTGTGGGAGGTGTAACGGTAACTTACTTACTTATGTACTAATATACAAGCAAGCTTGGCAAAATAACGGAGGTAATTAAAAGGATGTTTTGTGAACCCTATTCATTTGACTTTGCCATTACTTAACAAGCAACCATGACATTGAGATTTCAGACAACTTATATATATAACATTATTTTTTTTTCTTTTGATTAAAGATAAAACTAATATTTATAACTCCTGGAAAAAAAATTATTAGATTCAAATAATCGATTATTTGGCTATTAAATAAATATTTACTTGAACGAAATTTTGCTTCGAAAAAATTTTGTAGACCTGAATTAAACAATTTTTATTTTTTTTTCAAAATTTTCCGGATACGATTTTTAATATACAAAAATAAATTGAAACGAAAGTTATACTTTTTTACCCGAACAATTTCCTTAGAGTAAAAATAACTTAGAATATATTGCATATATATAAAAGCAGTCTTATATGTCGTGCTTCGACAATGATGCAAATTATCTATTTTGAGGACTCGTTATTCGAAAATAGCATTCTGGTATATTATTATATGGGACTTCGAATATGTGCTGACGTTTTCTGAAATCAAACAAATAAGTGGCTAAATCTGTACTATAAATGATGATTACAATATTTGTTGTTGCTATTTATAGTATCAAGTAAAGCCATCTTATCTCTCAAAATATGATCGTTGGCCCTCAAAACCAGTATATAAAGAGAGCATTTTGTCAAATTGACATTTCTATCGACTTGCAGACAGGTCAAATCTCATATATATATCGTTCATAAAAGAAATTTATTTGATTCAAATAAAATCGGGTTTCTTGACTATATTATACAAAATTATTATTTTATTTATTTCTATAGAAAATAATTTAAAGAATTATGAAAGTTATGATTTTATGTGCGTCTTTTTTTTTTGAAGAGTTTCTGTCAAAGAAAAGATAAAGGGACCACATGTTAGCCTACTTGAAACTTTGTGTCTGACTATTTCAAACCGTAACCACTGTGTTGTTCGTACACTCTGAAACAAAACTAATTAACATAACAAAATAACTTTAATTACATATTCGCTTGACATGTTGCATGCGTCTTAAACATATTTTTCTCTTATTCAAAACAAATAAACAAAAAATTTTTTTTACATTTTATTATTTTTTTTTATTATTATTATATATTCTTACAGTCACAGTTCTTGTTAGGATCTCAAATTGAGAGCATAAAGTGTATCAAATTGTTGATAATGCAACGTTTTGATGCTGTTTATGGTCTTAATTTGAGAACCTCAGAAAACTGTGGTAAGAATAAAATTCGTGGTGAAAATATTCTGAAATAGGCGCTAATTAGATATCCTTTAATTTAGTTTCTTTATTTCGTTGGTTATGAAAAGTAAAAAGCAGAACATTTTTAAATTATTTTTTAAAGGAAATGTTAAATTTTTTTGGGAAAATGATTTTTTTGGAGAAAATGATTGAAAGTTTATTTCAACTTTTGAAAGTGGGAGTACATAAATAATAATATAAATAAAGAAGAAGAGGTTCCAGGATACATTGACAAGTGAACGGTGTTTTGCTCCATTCTAATGTCGCCACGGCAAAGCGATGTGGTTTGCACGTCTGTATTTCGCTTGAAAGTAAACCGACGCACTGTCGTCTATAGCAGCTGTTACCCAGTCATCGCTTTGCTCTGGGACACATATATCTTATAAGTAATTCACATTTGTGACATGTTTCGTTCGCAAAATCTTATAAGCCCCGACAATATTTACAATCTTTCTCATTAATAATGCAAGAGGAGATTTTTGTACACACAAAATATAATAAAAAAACAAAAAAATAAAGAAAAAATTCCGCGAGGAATTTATACAAATCGAAATTTAATTCTTGGTCCTTGAAAAAAGTATATGGTCTAAATTTTTTAATTTAAAACAAGTTTTATCCCTTGCAGAAATTTTTCCAGGGCCCAGATCGGGGCCAAATCAGGCTGCCCTATTAGGGAATGAAACGCCGCGCCTGATGTGGTCCTAATTAGGAAATCCACATTTGGCCCTGATCAGGTGTGGCGTTACATTCCCTAGTAGGGCCCTGGTAGGGCAATTTCTACACGGGATATTTTTAATAATTTAATAAAATTTTTAATAATTTAATAAAATTTTTAATAATTTAATGTCATTCCAAATAATTTAACGTAATGTCAAATATTTCAATGTAATTCAAAATATTTCAATTTAGTGCCAAGTATTTCAAGATAATTCACATATATTTGTACTTCAATGTTACTTCAAAATATTTTTAAATAACTCTTTTTGATATTCTTCCGGATAATTCAGATCCTATATAATTTATATTATTTTTAAGTGGAAAGAATTTTATAAAATTTTATAAATACTTGAGAATATTTCAAAAGTTATTTTATAAGTTTTTTCCAAGTATTTCATATTTTTAAAGTTTTTGAGAATAAATCAACGTAAATGTTTAACAAGTTGCGTTTTACTCCTTGATTAAAAATTTACTTTGACAAATTACTTTTTCTTTTTTTTTTTTTTGAACACTTTTTTTTTTTTAAATTTTGAATTTTTTGACGAAGGGAAAATTGCGTGTACATAATTTTTTTTTGTGTGTAAATTTTATCGTCACCGACGAGACTAACGGCGAGAATTACCGTTGCTTTATTTTACGAGACGAAGTTTATCCCACCTACGTTTAAGCGTTTAACACGGTACCAAAGGTAATTCGAAAGACGTCCTTTTTCCAGGTGCGAGGCTATATTTGCCGCCGTGTCGTCGCTTTTATATATATATATATATATATATATATAATGCAAAAATACCTTTTTGATAAAAGGTTGCGAACATTGCTCTGAATTACTGGGTGTGTCATATGACAGTGGGTCGGCTATCGTGATAATGTGTTTTTAGGTCACTCACCGTGTCTTACAATATCTTCTCGTCTCGAGAAAAGAAGCTTGCTAAAATCTTGTTACAACTATACACAACACCCCTCCCACATTCCAGTTCTCATGAAAAAAAAAAAAATTCAATTCTCCCTCTTTTATCCAATCACCAAATTTATGATGGCTTTAAAAAAAGGTGCCTTCCTTGATAGGGTCACACTTTACGAGTTCATAATTTAATTCAAAACATATGTCTCGTAAATAAAATTGCAGGGATTACTTTTGTGCTTTTTGAATTTAAAGTAAGTTCAATCGCCCCGCTGTCTTTTTTTTTTCCTCCCCACAAAGAAGGTGTCATACAATGTTTTTTTTTTATGCTCTTAAACAGTTTTAAGCTTCCGCAGATGTTTTTTGAGCCTGATTTTACATAAATTTTTTGATAAATAATTTTTAAAATATGAATATGTGTCGAGTGGGAATTATCTTTTGTAAAAAAAAAAAATATTGCAAGGATTATTCTAGGGGAATAATTTAAAAATTTTTTTAAATTTATACAATTTGAAAATTTCTATTGTAATATATATATATATATATATATATATATATATATTGCAGAGAGGTAAAATTACACCTTAGCTTTGCAGATTTGTATATATATATATATATATACTCTTTCTGCGTATCGTTTATTATCGCTGAACACTCTCGCTCACTCTCTTGTTTTGATAAGAAAAAAAAATTATGCTTTCAGTGCGAAGCTGTTTTGCGGGAGAGAATAAAAGACCATGACGGAAGGAGAGGTGCCAACTTTGATGGGTTGAAAGTCGAAATCGGAGCCAAGTATAAAGGTAGATTAGATCTTAGCTTTCTATGCAGTTTTAGATCTTGAAATACATATATATAGGAGCAAGTTTTTATAATATACTAAAAAAATATTTTCTAAATGATACTCATCATTTGTAGGAAACAGATTTCGGATTAGAATATTATCAAGTTAATGTCGTTTATATATAATAGGGTAATTTTGACATGGGTTTATTGACCCAGGAAACTTCTCAACGGTTCAGAAAGTATACGTATTTTTTTACTTAAACTTTTAGAGTTAAAATTCCAAATTAAACTTTTTTAATTGTCGGATTTTTGAATTTAAAATTTTTTCAATTGTCAACTGAAATTGGATCAGTATTTACCAATTGTAATATACGCTCAGGGATTATTAGAGATTATTTAAAACAAATTTTTTATTTAAACAAATAAAATTTATTTAAATAAATATTTATTGCGTCAAGTAATCGATTATTTGAATCAAATAATTTTTTTTTGTCAGTATAGTAAACAAATAATTAATGCTTCAATTTCTCTCATTAAACAAAACTTGGAAATGAAAATAATTTAAAAATTATAAAAAATAATTGCAAATTGCAGGACTAAAGTCAAAGATTAATAAACTTCCCTCAATCGACCTTTCAATGTCCTTGGGGCAGCACATGCATGTATTGCATAATGTTGAGAGTGTGTTTATAATGCACATAGAGCTTTCTAGACGATCGGAAATGCTTTCTATATGGGATTTTGCCATGTGTTGTGTATATATACATATACATACTTTCTACTATCGTGAATGATCTAAGTACTGTATCTTCCCAAGAGTTGGGAATAATTTCAGTGTTCTTGTCATAAGGGTCATTTATTACATTTTCGAATGGCAGAAATAAATCATTGTTTATATTTTTAAAAAAATTTTACATTTCCTTCAAAGATTGTCAGCATTTTTTTTTTTTTTTGGTTCTCTCTGTATACGCCTTATATATTTAAAATAATTTATCAAAAAATTGATTCATTTTCGAAAATTGATTTTTTTCTTTTTTGAAAATTATTTTCCTATACAATTTTTAAAAACAATAACAATAAAAAAAACAAGTAAATAATACTTCCGACAGTGTAAACATTTTAGGGTCGCCAGGGCCCCGCGCTGCTTTAAATTGGAACACTTTGAAAATTCTCTAGACGTTCTAATTTTACGATCTGGTGAATACCAGTACTCGACGTTATCCATCTGCTTCATTCACTATATATTAAAGTCGTTGGAAAATTATCGAGATCACTTAGAATATTTCTGTTTAAATTATAAAGAAAAAATAATAACTAAAAATATATTGTGTCACAAAATCAAAAGAATTAGTTAACTGATTTTTATCATTAATCGGAAAAACAGTTTCTTGGATCTAATTTCTACTTTTTCTAATAATTTCTAATAATTCTTTCAATTTTCTCACATAATAGACGTTCTTTATCATATTTTAGACTCTTCCAAAAAATTGCAGATCAATCCATGAAATATTTTACGAGAAAATTTGTCGACAAAATTTTAAAGATTTTACTGATGTATAGAAAAGATTTTACTGATATAGAGAATACTTTCATAATGTATAGATAGTAATTAGAAAAAAATAATTTTTTCTTTACTAAAATTTTCCGTGTCTATTTCATGGTGAATTTTGATTATTATTAATCTTTTTTTGTCAATTGTGTCTTTCTTTCCTGTTTCATTCATTGATAATAATAGAGAGGTTGTAATTTAAAATTACAGCCCAGGCACACCTTTTGAAATATTATGGATGCATTTAAACGTCCCTGAAATGTTGGTCATTGACGTCACACTATATATCGCACCCGGCAATTGTCTAGCATTGTTCCTTCACGGCTGACGGCTTTCGAAAAACGTCTTCTTTATCTTTATAATAATGCTTTCACCCGAATATTAAGCTCCAGCCAAAGACATTCGTCATCCTCTCTTCTCCCCTCTTATACGGAAATATATTATAATATTTCTAAATTTCATATAAAGTTTCTATTTATTATTCTTATCGCTTCATTTTCTATAAATATAATAATAAATTCAAATTAGAAAGTTAGATTTGGAGGAAAAATTGTCAAATGGACAGACAATAGATTTTCCTATATATCCTTACCAAAGAATTGTTAAAATGGTTCTAAAAATAAAATGAATTTTAAAATTACCAATAAATAGAGATATCAATGTGAATGAAACTGGATTTTACGGTGTGTGTCTCTTGAAAGTGTGGGATTCAAGTGAACATCTTGAGCTCTAAAGAAACAATATAATCGTGATCCAGAATATAGTGCGGCTGAAAGTGCACTTTGTGAGTTTTTTTTTTTAAATATTTTTTTTCTTATTTTAAAATCGCAAAGAGAAACAATATGCGGAAATCGAATTACAACATATTCAATATAGGCCTCGGGGTAGAAACTACCACAATCGAGTTTTAGTTCCATGTTAACAAATTAAATTTTAATCTTCTTTAGATATAATAGAAATTGATTCATGCAGTGAAAAAAAATTATCAGTTACTTGACTATTTTTGTAAAATAAATATTTGCATTAAATAATTATCAATTAAATGGTATTTGAAAATACCATTTATACAAATAAAATTTGGTTAAAATACGATTTATTGTTATTAGAATTTATTTAATAAAAATTATTTGTTAAATAAAATTTTTTTTATATATTTCTGATAATTCAAGAAAATGTTACGATCCTGAGGCTACACGCCCTAGATATTTTGTGTGATTATCACAATTCACAAATGGGAGGTTTGAATCACATAGAGAGACCTTTTTCTATATCGATGAGGATAATTTTATATAGAAAGAGTAAGAGAGAACGAACAATAGGATTGTATCGCACATAATTATTTATAATACTATTCGCATTACGGATGCTGCAGTTTCTCTAGCGTACTTGTATATATATATATATATATATATATATATATATATATATATATATATATATATATATGAGATCGATATGGTTAATAGGCGTGTTGATCACAATATTTTTTTTTCTACTTTTTTCTTTTTTTTAATTCAACCAAGATAGAAGCAGAACAGGTCACGATGTTTATCCCCTTCTTGCAACTTCTTTCAATCTTACGCTCCTCGTTATTTTCCCCAAGGACGATGGAAACTTATCTTAATTATACACTCATTCCCTTTCTCTATAGAATCATTTCTCTAAAACAATAAATATATTATTTATCGGGATATCCTAAACTGTTTGATTTAATAATCAATTACGGTAATTTACAATTTAATTATATAGACAATTTTTTTTACACTTAAATATGTTGGCTTAATTTTTGTCACTGAAAAAATCTATTCATTTGTTAGGATTCAAGCCTATAAATTTTGCATCGCAAGTCGAGAACGCTCACCATTGAGCTATAAACTAAAACAAATTTATCATTCATTGAAATTAAAAAATTTTACAGAAGCAGCCGCATGGCGCCTCCATTGCATAGTTTCGTGGTCTGTTAAGGAAACGGTCGTTATGGCAACAGTTACTTTGGTACCAGTTAATATGGTGCCAGCTACTTTGGTACCATTTAGTTACTATTTTACGAGTTACTATGGTACCAATTACTTTGGTACCAGTTACCATGGTACCTGTTACTTTGGTACCATTTAGTTACTATGTTACGAGTAACTATGGTACCAGTTACTTTAGTACCAGTTACTTTGGTACCAGTTACTTTAGTACCAGTTACTTTGGTACCAGTTACTTCGGTACCAGTTACTTTAGTACCAGTTACTTTGGTACCAGTTACTTTATAACCAGTTAATTTGGTGCCAGTTACTTTGGTACCATTTAGTTACTATGTTACGAGTTACTATGGTACCAATTACATTGGAACCAGTTAATTTGGTACCAGTTACTTTAGTACCAGTTACCATGGTACCTGTTACTTTGGTACCATTTAGTTACTATGGTACCAATTACTTTGGTACCATTTAGTTACTATGTTACGAGTTACTATGGTACCAGTTACTTTAGTACCAGTTACCATGGTACCTGTTACTTTGGTACCATTTAGTTACTATGGTACCAATTATTTTGGTACCAGTTACTTTGGTACCAGTTACTTTATAACCAGTTAATTTGGTGCCAGTTACTTTGGTACCATTTAGTTACTATGTTACGAGTTACTATGGTACCAGTTACTTTAGTACCAGTTACCATGGTACCTGTTACTTTGGTACCATTTAGTTACTATGGTACCAATTATTTTGGTACCAGTTACTTTGGTACCAGTTACTTTATAACCAGTTAATTTGGTGCCAGCTACTTTGGTACCATTTAGTTACTATTTTACGAGTTACTATGGTACCAATTACTTTGGTACCATTTAGTTACTATGTTACGAGTTACTATGGTACCAGTTACTTTAGTACCAGTTACCATGGTACCTGTTACTTTGGTACCATTTAGTTACTATGGTACCAATTATTTTGGTACCAGTTACTTTGGTACCAGTTACTTTATAACCAGTTAATTTGGTGCCAGTTACTTTGGTACCATTTAGTTACTATGTTACGAGTTACTATGGTACCAATTACTTTGGTACCAGTTACTTTAGTACCAGTTACGATGGAACCTGTTACTTTGGTACCATTTAGTTACTATGGTACCAATTATTTTGGTACCAGTTACTTTAGTACTAGTTACCATGGTACCTGTTACTTTGGTACCATTTAGTTAGTATGTTACGAGTTACTATGGCACTAGTTACTTTGGTACCAGTTACTTTGGTACCAGTTACTTTATAACCAGTTAATTTGGTGCCAGTTACTTTGGTACTATTTAGTTACCATGCTACCAGTTACTATGCTACTAGTTAGTGTTGTACCAGTTACTTTGGTACCAGTTACTATGGCAACAGTTACTATAGAATCTGTTATTACTAAATCTGTTACTATGGAAATGGTTGCTGTGGTAATAGTTACTTTGGAAGCGGTTGCTATGGAAATTGTTCCCATGGAA